AAATTTAGAAGTGTGCGTAACTATTTGGAGTTAAACGATTAGTCTCTAATTTGGTTGAGCGTAAAAAGTGGTGTACAATGTATATTGGAACAACACTGTATCAGAAATTCTAATGTAACCATTTATTTTAATTTCCACCTTTCTTTTTCTTCTCAAAACTCATCGTACTACTTAAAAGCTGATTTCAGCGGATTCGCGAGAATCGTTCATGAATAATCAATTGTAAGTATCGATGCACCGAATATCGCAGAAATCTGCGGTAATTAATGCATCGAATCGTTTAATCGTATATATTCATTGATTTTCGAATGAAAATTACTGATAATTTCTACGTTTCTCTTTAAAGCGCGATATCCAATGAACCGTTCGTATCGATAATACATACAGAATGGTCGATCGTTTTGTCACGATCCCTCCATTGTTCGAAAAGTTACGAACTTCGAGCATGCCTATTCATGAACATCAGTTCAAGGAATTCCGTACAGGGTTGTTTCAATACAGACTCAACCAAAAATCAGTCGAAGTCGGGTAAAGCACGCAAGTATGGAAATCAACGAAGTACAGCTTTGAATCTAACATTAAAAACACGGAACATTCACAAGCCGCAAAGGTAATCCCATTTCCTGTTACTCTCGTGCGATCGTATCCGTTCCCGGTCACCTGTCGCGCTGCTGGTCTTAATATTAAATGGAATATCGTATTAAATACTGAGCACTCGTGTATTGACTAAAGTGTTTCTACTGCTGACCTCGTAGCCGACAGAGATTCTACGTACTCCGCGTCACTTCCGTCATTTCATGGAAACGAAACATTTAACCCCTTAAGACTGTTATTTGGAAAACAATGAAATTTCAATTTCAATTCAGTGGAAATTCAAAGATCGAAATATCAAGTAAAGGTTCTTTGAAGATTGTTATTTTTATTATGTCATGTACGTTTTGCTAATGTGAAAATCAATGATGTCCTTTAAGGGATTAAAGTGATCTCGGTGAAACAAGCACGGTGACTTTGTAAAATGATTAAGAACTTCACGTGATCCTGTTTTCAACGTCAGTTTAGAAAATTGATTTCGATCTTTCTCGGACCTAATCGTTGAATTAGGGAATCTCCGATCTTCTCGAATTTCATCAAATCCTCGACAGCATCACGTTATCTAAAGTTTTACAAGATGTTTGAAAATACGTCAAATTTCTAATTAAATCCTCCGCGATGCTGCTAGGAGCTCGTAATTACTTAAAACGCAAACAACTTAACGTAAACAGATCTAACAATAAATCACATATTCCAACTCGGTTTACAAGCTGACGGTAAAAGAGTTTGCTTTTCAATGCATACATCGAGCATTGATTCCTCAATTTCGATCCACCAGGAAAGGGATTTACTTTGCGTCGATAAACAATAAAATCGAGCTGCGGCGCGTCCGTCAACGGATGAAGATCGCCGTTTATCTAACAGCTCAACGCTAGCTTAGTATCGTATCAGACCAGCATTCACATATTCGTATTATCTGCATATATAAACTGATAATAATAATTAAATAGTTAATAGGACAATGAAATAGTTCTGATAACAGAACAGTATACAGTACAACTGCTACCTCGGTTATCCCAACTAATTGATAATTAAATGGTTACTTAACAGGACAATCAAATAGTCCGGATAATCGAACAGTGTATACTAGAACCACTAGAACCTCGGTTATCCGAATTAATCAGAACCAAGATGATTCGGCTAACACTAAAATAATTTTACAGCAGAAAAATAAATGAAAAACAAGGTCTTACTGGTTTAGATAACTGTCGGATAATCGCAGTTCTTCCGTATTTCAAAAGTACCGTATAATCAATTTAATTTCAATTTTCTTTTATATTTCTTCTCTTTTATTTCTTCTCGTCAAACAGTAATGCTGTTGTAGCTAGCTTTTCGATGACAAATTCGATTGTTGTGAATACACTGTGGCAGACATGTGAACAACAGGGCGTTGTGCTGGTGCTGTGTTGAAACGGCGGTCACGCGAGTGTCGAAATAACGGACAACGTTACATTATTTTATAGAGTCGATCACACGAGCAACGCCCGTCAAATGTGACGCGCATACAATGTCGATGTTGACGATCGCAGCGACACGGGTCGACATTCAACGGGAACGTTGCTGTATTCTTTTTCGTTGGAACTGGATACACGAGCGACGAACTGTCGTATAAATTCGATATCATTCACCTTAATCGTATGAATGATATTCATAGTGAATACTTGCGCATACGCGTGAAAAAGCTACAGAGGTAGCTCGTGCGACCACAGTTAACGTCCGCCATCTTAACCCTCGTGCGACCTCGACTAAACCCCCAACATAGACCAACGATTTTGTGCCAGTATTGCTTTTGTTGTTGTTTGCAGTGGCATGTTATAACGATAGAAAGTTGCAACGCTGATAAAGGTTATTGTTTGGCCTAAATGGGCAATAGCCTGAAAAATATCCATGACAATACCAAGCAGGCGTTGTGCTGTCAGACGATCGGCGATCTTAAAAACCGAGTCGAGCCGCGTTTGCGGACTAAAATCACTAATAGTTTGGCCGTGTAATATGCCTCTGAGGTGTTGCTCGACTACCAGCGAGCTAGAACTGCATAGGAGCTAGAAAAATCGCCGGAACGCTCTATGAGCCTCTTTAATAAGACTCCTAGTAAATAGCAGTATCCTTCCATGTCCGCGGGATATTGGGATAATAATTACAAATTCCGCGAATATAAGAAAACCGCGGACATGGAATCTTACACCAATGTCATTCTCAATCGGTATACTTCGCTCGTATTTTATTTCGCTCGCCTTCGTTAGGCGATTCGGCCAATAAGAATATATTAAAACCGAGGCGTCATTGTTACTGTAGCTACTCAATCGAGTATCGCAAGTGAACGATTCCTTTTGCTCCTGTGCAGTGTTAGTTTGCCGATAGTCGGTCAATTTCTACAGCCCCTAGCACATGTGCAGACATGCTGCGAAGCAGCGACTCCTAGGTTTCGTGAAACCTGGATCAGCGTAGTTTGCTTCCACACTATTGATCCTTCTGCCTTGCGTAATGTCAGTTACTTGTGAGGCCAATTCGTTGATGCCAAAGTACGAATTAACGAAGATGACTTGTTGGCTAGCGACACGATGGTTACAGGTCCTCCTTCAGGTTGATCTGTCAGGTGATGGAATTGACAAAACGCACGCTGCAGCTAAAAATGCGTGCTTCCACACCGTCCACTAAAACCAGCATTTCTCAACCTAGCCAACATCTCAACCTTAAGGACCCTATACACGTTGAAACAGGTTGCTATTCTGTAAGCGATGGATTCGAGACGTTTTCACTTTTATCACGTCTTCGTTGATACAGCAAGTGAAAAATTCAAACCCATGCATCGCGACATGCTTCACCGTGTATAGAGATAGTAACGCGTATCGCGGAAAAGCCCTCGTACACGCTAAAGCAGCGATGCAAGCATCGTGACAAGCGACGAGTTTGACCCTTTCTCACTTTTTGAGTACAATATGCATCATGGAACCTTAAAGACTCGGACCCAAGGCTTGCAGCGACGTCTGCAGGCTTCAGCGTGTGTGGGGGCCTTAAGAGTCGGGGCCTCGCAACACGCTCCGCCGTGTGCAGGGGGCTTAAGAGGCGTACAGTACAAGAGCGAGTGGCGTGCGGTCGGAGAGCAAGAGATTACTCGAGAACCCAGGCTCCGGCGATCGCTCGAAACCGCGGTGCGTCGTCGAAGCCGATAATATATCGCGTGAGGAACTCGCCCATGGAAGAAACAATGATCTCGCGTCGCGAAACGAGCCAGTCGGGGAAACGCTCCTCGTCGATCTGGGAATCGCTTGGCCGGGCTCGCGTGGCTCGAAGGCAGCGCGACTTAAAAAAGTAAATATACATCAACAGCCTCGAGCCCCCTCGAGTCCCGTCGCCAGCCCGGGATCCCGTGAAAAAAGAATTGAGGAGGGCGCGTGTCCCGTTGTTGCGCTGAAAATTTCATCTACGTATCGCGGGGATTTCGAGGATCCGGAAGCCTTTCATGAAACGTTAGATCGAAGAAGTATTTCTTTGCGAGTAGTCGTGTAATCGTTTTGTCCAGTGTGTTTTTCTGTGTGTGTGCGTGTGTGTGTGTGTGTGTCGGCGAGAGAGAGTGTGTACCGTGTGTGCGTTTCGTACAAGCGTGTACAGAGGGACAACAACGAACGATGTCCGCCGATAGAAGGGAAAGAAAACCGTTTTTTGTTCCTTAAGAAAATGAAGAGAGATGCTCGCGCTATAAGATCGTCAAACGTCACCACCGTTTCGGCACGTGGATTCTACGCATTCCTCGTTATCACTCTCGTTCGCCACCGACTCCTCAGCCGAACAATCCAAGGATATATCGTCCCTCTTACGAGCTAACAGAGAACAGTATTTAAACGCTGCGTTGTC